TTAACAATTATGATGATGATATTGGATTAGTATGGAAACTTTATCCTGAGCTGAGGTAAAAGCTACTTTCAGAGAACACTCAGCTCCATTGCTGAACCAAGAGCAGCTCTTTAAGCTAATTTCAGGAAGTCTGAGCACATCATTGGGGAACCAACCCCCCCCCCCGCCAATGTAATAAAGCCATCAAAAGGCAGCTCTTCAAATGAAGTGAAATTGTGTAAAGCTTTGAGGCCTTAGCTAAGTGGTACAACATATGCTTTCCATTCACATAAGACTCCAGTGCCAATAAAATAGACAACACTGGGTAGGTAAAAGGGGGGGGGGGAGACACAAGTTCAGTCATCAAAGAGAGCAGCCCTCTTACCACTGGCAAAGATGATCCGTACCAGCCCTGAGCTTGAAATCTCCACAAAAAGCACTTTTCAAGCTTGGTTGTGGTGTCAACCCCTACCTGCCTCTGCATCTCAAAGCCCCAGAGCATCACACTGTAAGTCTGGAGACACTCAGAGCTCATTGCAATATAGGTGAGTTTCAGCTCTCTTTTTGATCTTTGACATGGGGAAGATGGGAGGACACAGGATCCCTTCTAGGGTTGCCAGGTCCAATCGCCTGGGGGGCGTTCCAGGAGTGGGGGGGGACGACATTGCATGACATGCATACATCACCTGGAAGTGATGTGGGCACACCAGTTACATCAGGGATGATGCTCTGGTTTTTGGGCAAAAATCTATGGTAAAATCACACTCAAACCAGAGTTTTGCCCCCAAACCATAGTGTCACCCCCCCCAACGTCACTGACATGCCTATATCACTTCTGGGTGACATCAGTGCATCACACATGATGTTGCTGTTTGGGGGGCTGGGGATTTTCTCCTGCTGGGTAGCTGGCTGCTGCCAGGTAGTAGCCTGCAAAAGCTGAGGACCCCTTGCACCCCCTTGGGGAATGGTAACCCTAATCACCTCATAACTTAATATGAAGTCAGTTGTATCTGGCTATCAAACCTAGTCAAAAATTTGAAGAAGTCCAGAAACAACAATAATATGATTCAGTAAAAAGGCAGGTTTCTATGTTCCCATCTAAAAGAGGGAGGAGAAATGGTGTCTGGCTCTGAGTGAGAGAAGGGAGAGCTGGCATCCTGCTACCAAGACACACATGTCAAATCAAGTGTCCTCTGGCCAATGCATGCAAAAACTCAGCCCCAATCATGTGATCAGGACATTCTTCAGGTTGCTTGACAGAAGTTCTTTAAAACTTGGACACAGGGATATTACAGAAGTGAGGGAGCACTCACTGGAGAAGACCCTGACGCTGGGAAAGATTGAAGGTCAAAGAAGACGGGGACAGCAAAGGATGACATGGTTAGACAGTGTCATAGATGCAACGAACATGAAATTGAGCCAACTTCAGAGGACGGCGGAAGACAGGAAGGCCTGGCATGATCTGGTCCATGGGGTCGCAAAGAGTCGGACTCGACTGTGCGACTGAAGAACAACAAATAGCACTTTTGAACCGACTTTACCTTATAGTGAAAGTGTTTTGCTGTGTGATCTAATAGACTGCGACTGCTTGACTGGCTCTACGAATTCACTCTGTAGAAAAGAGGGAGGCAACTGTCCCGGAGGCACCTGAGTAGACGCATTATATTGATCATGCACCAAATGTGCTCAGACATCACGGATTCAGCTCAGAGCTGCTCTGTGACTGGGGGTGGGTGGTATAGTTAATATATGCTAGGGTTTTTTGTATGCTAGTTTTATGACATTTGAGAATGCAAACGGAAAAAGCACCAGTGAAGAAAAAGGTTACTTAAATTGTACTGATGACCTTTGCCTGATGCTTTGTCTATTTCAGTTCATTAAGAGCAATTAAATACAATATCCATATTCTGACTAGCTGAGAAGAATTTAGAGTATCTTGAGGGGAAAACACAGACACACTTTCCTCTGTTACCCTGTATAACCTAATAAAGGAGACTCTTTTTTGTATTCAAGATGGCTGCCATGTTTCATACACATTTCACTGGCCTCATGCTGACCACCCACCACGCATGAATAAGTGACTGCCGGAACAGCCTCTTGCACATGTGCGCAAAATTGGGACAACAGATTTGTTTCCACAGGCACAAATGTGTGCAATGATTGTATGAATAATGACATCAGCGCTGAAGAGGAAGAGGAAGACAGTAAATAGGCTTCTGAGAATTTGCCTCCCGGAAGTGGAACACCACAGCAGTAAACCTTGAGGCACCAAAAATGTGTGTAAATACCTGTTGCTTTTGCCCCTGCTTATTCACCAGAGATCATAAGAAATCCAGACTGAGGTATACTATCACAAGGAAAATAAAGCAAGAATTCTTGGGAAATCCCAAAGTATGGCTCCTGCTGCTTGTAGTGTCAAACTATGGACCTACGAAATCATTCCAGAGTAATTGACTAATCAATTTTGGGGAGCAAATTCAATGCTTGCGCTGCTGCACTTTTACGCCTATGTTAACCAGTGTTTATTAATGCAACCTAGCAGTTCCATTCTCATTTGTCATAAAAAATTCATTTGCAGGATTAAAAAATCTATACTTGTAGAATGTGTAAAGGCATCTCATTAAAAAGAACAAGACAACCCCCTCCCACAGCAAAGCCCACAGCCTTCCAAGGTTACCAAAACACAGATTGTGAATGTTTATATTAGAAAAAAAAATCAAAAATGAATAGATTAAGATTATCTTGCTGAGGAGAGGCATGCACATAAAACCTCAGTGACAGAGGAAGTCAAAAGTCATCTACGTAAATCCCTCATTTCCCCCCTTTCCCAAGGCAGGATCTTACATACATGTAATCCACATTCATGCCATACACACATCCCATCTGAGAAAATAATTAATCCAATTTATGATAGGTGACAATTGCAAGAATGAGAATGAAAAAAAGAAACAAAGCTTCATGCAGCCCACCAGCCACATATAGAAGCCCTCTATTTTTGCAGTTACAAGCAAGCAGCAAAACCAGGAGATTTGGTGAGTGCCACACATGGCCAGTGGGGTGTTTTCACTGTAGTGGGTCACAAATGGTGCAGTCCCCAACAGGAACTAGCAAGATTCTATTATGCAACATGCACAAAAAGAACACAGTGAAATATGGAACAGACTGTGGAGGGTAAACCCAAGTTACTTGTTGACACTGTATTTCTACAAAGTACAGCCTGTCCCAACAAAACAGTGCAAATTGTTCCCCACAAAGACCAGTGAAGGGAATAAATAGACAGTAAAGTGAGAGTCCTGCTGGGTTGGTATTTTAGAGGAAAAGTGACATGCATGACTCACTAGAGTTAGACAAGCCCATGCAATGCAGTAGAGAGCTTTGCTCTTGCTTATGGCTTGGCAAGAGCATGAGACAAATTGGGATCTTTCCAAGCCCCCTGGGGTTGCAAGCTTTGTTAATGCCCAATGCATTTATATGTAATTTTTTTTAAAAAAAACTGGCGACTTCACAGTGCATGTAGCTCACGTCTGCCAAATTAATAGGAACAAATACAGCAGTGCTTGAATGAATTCAAGTTTAAATAAAAGAAAAGGGGTCTGAGCAGTCAGTTGCTCCTTTCTATCTAGGAAAAGTATGTGAGAAGACCGCATTTTCATCAAGATATCTATGGAAAAAATGTTTTCTGCCCCCAATCTAATTTTAATATTATGAGAAATAAAAATTTCAAACATAGTCTGAATTTGCCAAGATGATAAATTTGATACTCTTTGCTGATAAGAGGAAGCAAATCTTGAACAGGGATTATGAAGTATGGTATATTTGGCTTGCACCAAGAAGAATAAATTAGACTACATTAAAAGGTTGCCTGCAAGTTCTGCAGCAAATGGGTGCACTACTGAAAATTCATAAGAGGAAGGACCAAATACTCTGAAAATGAAGGCAATGGAGTGGGACAGCATCCAGGAAGAGCGAGAATACAAAATTTCCCTTCAGATCAATTGCATCAGCATTTGCAACTGTTTAATGGGACAGACAGCATCAGACTCGAACAGCAAAGATCTTGGACTACTCGGTTCTTCTGCCTAACCCATTTCAGATGGTTTCTTGTGTGGATAAAAAAGTGGGGTGCTGCAGTAGAAACCTGTACACTGCTCTGAGCTCCATAGAGGAAAGATGGGATAAAAATGTAAAATAGTACAAGTTCCTGTATAAACAAGGTCCATACTGGCACATGCATGGAGAACTAGCTTACTCTTCATAACGAAATGCCATCCTTCACCCACAACCAGTGAAACATGCACCCCCATCATCAGCACTGCAATTAATGCATGCATTTTCCAAGGGCAAAACAGGAAAATCTTTAATAGCGATATCCCCTTACTTATCACCCAACATGATAGCCCCATCATTAATGATTCATAATCAAAATGCACCGCTATGCCTCTTGGAAAATGCTACTGCGGTTCCAGAGAAGATGCAAGGCTTTTGTTCTCATGTAGACAGTGGATGTAGTATCACAAGGAACACAATCCTTCTGGTGCAAGAACAGGGTGGTAAAAATTTAAGCCACAAAACAATGCCATTTGGGTTAACTATACTGGTGACCAGCCAAAAAGATTATACTGCAATTTAAATGGAGTCTGACCATTTATTTCATGGTATAATATTTTTGAATGGTGGTGAAGTCTGAAATCGCAATACTTCTTGCTAACACACAGGGGGGGAACCCAAGCTGCAAAATTACATGGTACAACCTACCACAGCAACATAGCAAGTGGTGTTAAATGCAATACAAAGAGGTGTTGATGAATATTTTCATCATTTCATTTCCCCTGATGAATATTTTACAGCAGGCACGAGGTTCCTATTAGTACTCCCTTGATGAATTCTGGAGCTTCAAGTCACAAACAATTAGAATTCAGAGGAAGGTAATAAAAAAGTGACCTCTGTGTGTGAGAGACACCTCTATTAACTAAAGGAAATGCCATCATCATCATTTGAAACTCAAGGGCAAGGTCTCTAACCTTTCTGCTGGGCTGTCAGGTTCAATAAATCGGATGAGGGGGGGAGAAGAGAGTGTTTCCGTAGCAAAGATCCCCCCCTGAAGCTGCAGTCCAAAGCCATTCAAGGGATCTCCTCTTAGAATCACCTCTGTTGTTTCTGTATGAACAATCTGCCCACCTGGACCCACCGTACTGGACGCCAGTGAGACTGAAACAAGAGACACACTCAAGTTAGCAATATGGTTCTCTGGAGTATCTGCAAATACATAGGCAGCAACACTCCCTTTCTACCCCAAAGCTATCTGCAAGTATAAACCTGCTATTCTTTCAGCAAAATGTTTCTCCCAAGCACTGCCTTCTGCAGAACTAGGGGCATCAATGACAGACACCAGAACGGCTCCTCGTTGGGCAAGCCAGAATTTGCATCAACCATTGTGCAAAAGATCTATCCGGTAAAACAGGATGAACAGCCATCTTTTTTGCCCTCGGTTGACATACACCATCATCTACAGAAACAAGAGTCTTTATTACTATACTGCGCAACATCTATGCAGGGTATGGGGGCCACAGGAACAAACTGCAGGCTCAAAGGCAGATACATGCAGGAAAAGCAGATAAATTATTGTGGTATTTACACTGTCTTCCTTCAGTAGCTGCTGTAGGGACAATCAGGTAAAGAGGAGGAGAGACGCCTGAAGGGAGAAAAAGCTAAGCCCTACATATGTAAACGATCCACCATACTAATAAACAGGTGAATGACCCTGGGCCTGTTCCTAAGATAACTATTCCACGGAATAGATGGAAGCACATGCTCCTTTCCCACTATACGTTTAAGGCTTTGTCTTGGTTCAGACACGAGGTTGGGTCTGGCCTGAATTTTTCACCAGCAGAGTAGAACACCCCCCCCCCCCCAAAGACTGATCTCTATGAAATGGCTGTTCTTCATGGGCAGGGAACCCCCAGGAAAAGCATGAGGGGAGTCCTGCAGAGCAAGAAAGGAGAGATTGGTAGAAATTGCCAACTTAGTCTAGATGCAACCCACAAACAGTCCTTGAAGCAGTCTCAAAAAAACAGCCTCAGCAACCCCATTTAGTCTAGATGCAAAACCACAAGCAATCCGTGAAGCAGCCTCAAGCTCATTTGCACCATCCTCCTCTCCTCCCTTTGCGTAGGGCAAGTCGATTAGTCATTTCTTGCAGACGATAGTAGTTCAACAGGCAAGTTATGGCATGCACTTGCCCTACAGATCAGGACTCCAAACTGGGCACAAGCACTGGTTTGCAATTCTGCTTTGCAGGATGAGCATAAATCATCACTTCTCAACTCATATGTAATCCAGGGCTTTTTTTGTAGAAAAAGCCCAGCAGGAACTCATTAGCATAATAGGCCACACCCAACAGCAGAAACTCATTAGCATATTAGGCCACACCCTCGACAGCACAGCTCATTAGCATATTAGGCCACACACCCATGTTACCAGAAGTGTGGTGATCCAGCCACGCCCACCTTTTGCTTCTTATTCTGTTGACCTTGTTTGTGGTCAAAACCCAGGGCTTTCTTTGTAGCAGGAACTCCTTTGCATGTTAGGCCACACACCCCTAATGTAGCCAATTCTAATGTGTTTCTGCTGTTGGGTGTGGCCTATTATGCTAATGAGTTCCTGCTGGGCGTGGCCAACTTGGGAGCCAGCCGGAACTCTGTTCCTGTGCGTTCCTGCCCCAAAATAGCTCTGGTAATGGCAATCCACAGTTTGCATCCATTCCTCAATAGACTGTGCAGTTGTCGCTGGTCCACACAGGAAATGAATCCATTTGCAAATGACTGATAAGCACCATACCTAACCTGCTCAATATCCCGTGTAGTGTGGCTGCAGTCAATGTGCTTTCAGAATGGACTGAACCTTGTTTCTCATTAGGGAAATGTTAGATGGGGTGGGGGAGAAAGACTGCCTGACCTACTAGTGTTTCTCGGGGATTGGAGGCCCAAGGGAACATTAAAGATTCAGGCAGCAAATCACAGGGGACAGTGGGAAAAAGACAGATTCCCATTCTCCTTTTGTGATCCAACAACAGAAACTATCAAGTGGGAGAGAAATTTAAAGGACATACTGAACAGGCTGCTGAAGCAGCCGCAAGCCCAGCAGCCCCCCCCCCCCGCTCTCCCCTTGAAATGCCTGTTCCTCTTACGTGAACTTTTGTGCTCCTTCTTCCTCTGCCTTCTTCTCAGCATGGTGGCCCGTGGGCTCATGGTGTGGTTGCTCCGAGGTAGAGTATTGGAATTCTGGCAGGCAAACCCTGATGTGTTCATCGTGGGAGATGAAAAATTGGCAGCTACAAGGGCTGGACAACACAAAACAGCCGGAGTTAGAGTCAAAAGGTCAGAATGAACCCATCTGGCTGGTTTTGCTACCACTAACTTTTAACCCGACTTTACACGCTCCAGTGGTCCTGCCGCCTAATCATCTCCTATACACCACAGAGTTGCCTGAGAACACACAGAGAGGAGTAGCTGACTGGAAGTTATTCTCTCCTCCACAAAGCATGTTAAGGATTGTTATTGTGAACCTTCCCTTCATGCAGAACACAAGCATCATAACTGACCTATGAGACAGTAAGCTTGGCATACTTCACATTATCAAAGGATGTTCCCAGACTCCCTCTTACCCTTCAGATTATAAATCAGTGAAAATCTTTCAGGAAAGACTTTGAGAGATTTTATGACTACTACTGCACATATTCACTGTGCCTGTGGTACTGTATAGAATATAACAGTGACACAGCCTCATGTCCAAAAGGATTATAATCTATATTCAGTGAATGAAGCTGAGACGAGGGGAGAAGAGACGGATTTCCACAGACTATTGAGAACGAATCAGGGTACAATAGGGCTGCCAGAGGAGCAACTAAAGTAGGACTGGGAGAACTGAGGTAAAGATAACAGGTTTTATTGTCTGACCTTGGGGCTAAACCTTTGAGCTGGGGGGAGGGGGCTGAGAAGGTTTTTGCCTGCTTAAGTTGAGCAGTGGTTTCTGCTGAATCCTCCCTCCTATTCAACCCCCCACCCCTATACCCTGCCTGAGTTCCATCTGTGGAGCAGTCTGCTGACTCCGAGGAATAAACTTAGATGGGTGTACTTGGTTAACTACAATGGGAGGGGGAAGTGAGAAAGACAAAATCCATGGATGGTTGGATAAACCCCACTACAATTTATTAAAAACACAGTTCTTCAGGATAGACAGAGCGTTAGGGGGGAACAGCTCAACATACAGGCATACATTTCGCAGTCCCGTTGAGGTCCCATGGTTCGGGGGGAGGTGCCGATCCCACGACGCGCCAAAGAAGCGGCGCGGCACGGCACGGCAAACGGGGTTGTGTTTTGTTTTTTTTAACCTGAAGTATGCGCATGCCCCGTTGGGTGCTTGTGCGCATCCCTGGAGACTTCGGGGAAAAAACCTTTTCGCAATGGGGCATGGGCGGGCGCTGGATGCCACCGGAAACGCAATCAGACGCCCGCCCTTGTCCCGCGGTTTCCGGAAACTAGTACCTCCGAGGTACTAGTTTTTTGCCGTGCATCTTCGGCGGGAAGCCTCGGTTGAGCCACGGGAGCTCTACGCTTCCCAGATGTGGTGGTGAGATCGTGCCCGGAAAATCCGCCTATCTTCCGTCTCTCTAGCGTGGCTAATGCTCCATGTGACTGGGGCCTTTGTTTATTAATTTATAAACCTTTCTAAAAAAAAAGTCTCAATACATATAATTATGGGAATGGGCCAGCAGCTCAGGCTAGCCCCCCCCCCAGTAAAGTGCACCCATTTACCCCTTTCTCTGATACTTAGACCTGAGACTGGTTAAAAGTCTGGCAGTGTGTCCTTTGCCAGCTCCCTATATGGGAGCGAAGATCAAACAAATAGGAAAAAGACATTAAAGATTCCTTACATTTGCAATAATCTTGGCTAGAAGTCTGGTTCCAGGTGGGTGTCTTGCAATGCCCTGGATGATGAGTGTGGCAGTAGCTGACACAAGGATCCCAACAATGGTGGTGGTCACTCTTTTGCACTTTGACTGTGTCCGGCATTATGCAGGAAATAATAAAAGCAGAAGCCAGAGGGAAAGACATAAGCATACAGAATACATACACAGCAAGCCTTCTGGTAGTCCTCTATCGGAAGATCATTACAAAACCACTCTTGCAAGCTGTACGGATCGTCCACATCAATCCTGCTTTTCTTTTAGCTATGCAGTATTGGTAACCTGGGTGCTATGCAGTGGGTAAAATTTGCTTCAGGCTTCCTTTCTAGAGGAGATTCTGGTTGACACTCCAGCGCGTCAGAGCTGCATGTAACCACATAAGCTCCTTCTTCCGACTGCTTGCACAGAATCAGCACAGGTTGTACAAGTACCGGTCTTCCAACAGCGGATGTGGGGTTGTCCCGGGGAGAGGGAAGAATTAACCATTCTCCACAGCATACCTCCCTAATGCTCCGCAGCTGAATACTCCACTGTTGCCTGTTAAGTGTGTGAACCCAACATCTGGCCATGCATGTATGTATAAAGGGATTTGGGGGATAACAACTGAGGAAGAATTATTTATGAGCAAGAAAAGAAGTTAAATGGTTAAAGAGATGCTCTACAACGTGGCTGCTGCAGCCTCATTCTGATCCGTTTCAGAGGGCAGCCATGTCGGTTTGCAGTAGAACAGCCAGATTCTAGTAGCACCTTAAGAGACCAAAAGGAGTTTCAGGGTATGAACTTCCAAGAGTCAAAGCTCTCTCAAAAGCTTATACCCTGAAACTCTTGCTGGTCTCCAGGGTGCTCCTGGACTTGCATCTGACTCATTCTAATTAGTGCTTGCAAGACATCACTTTAAAAGTCAATGCTCAGGATTCTGACATGGAAGGTGCTGAACGGCGTTTCCCTACCCTTCCCACTACAGTCTCGAACAGGTGTCGCTGCATGCTGGTCAGCAGCAGAAGCTTCTCCTGTGCCTTAATGTAAAAGATCACAAATAGTACAAAGCAGGGCTGAAGTCTGTTCAAGACTTGCATACGGAGATGGGTATGTGATTCATCTGTTTTCCCTATTACGTTTTAACCAGCAAGAAGAGCCTCTAAATGGTCTTTAAACATAGAAATGATTATTAACAAGTGCCATTTAAATGACATAAATCTTTGAAGCTTTCCTCCCTTTCCCCCTGCAGATTAGGCAGTGTGTTCAGCTGCAAAAGGTCCCTGATAAAGCCAGCGATGAGAGAGTCCAGAGACACAGTTGCAAACAGCTGACTCATATTGCTATAAATTGACCATGGAAGTTTAGGGTACACTGGGCAGCAGACAAAGGGAATGTGTTGCCGATATTTAAGTCATCCGTGGAAGTATTTTTTTAGGTTACAAGTATCCAGCGCAATACAGTCACTTCTCGTGGGGGTGCCCCCAAATGACAAAGGGCTATACTTCCATATTATCTGGGACTGTATGTTGAACCAGCATTTTAAACTGTATTGGAAGGCTCAATTTGTGGAGCGTATCTCATCCGTGAAGGATGGCTATTGGCCTGTGCAAGGTTAAAAGGGCCTGAGTTCAATTCATAATGAAAGGAAACTTCATATTATGCTGTTGGATAAAAAGAAGGAGGACCTGGGATCCTTGCCTGAGAATTGTGCTGGAAGAGCTACAGGAGTTCTTAACTAGCCATACTGAAGCCATACTGAATATCTATATATCTACTAACCATGTGCATATATATCTAATAACTCACATGCAGATAAAAAAAATATGTGCAATGGGGTTACTCAGGACTTGATTATGCTCCAATAAGAGGGCCAGGGTTCAGTCATCTACCATATGCTCTTAGGTTTCTGGAAATCTTTTAACCCAATCTAACATGTTTCATTGTTATCACAATGAAAGTTAATATTTCCTCAGGTACTAATAAGGGCTATAGTATGGTGTTGCAAGGCCTGTAGTATAGTTGTTATGCATCAGCATCCCAGAGGAAGAAGCAGTACTTTATATTTTACGACTAGCCTTGGTCCATACCTGTGTCTGGAGGCTTGAGGGGGAGTCTGCTCTGGTGAGCAGGTAGTATCTCCAATTTTACATTTTCTGATGTTGCTGCTAAAAGCTGGGTCGCCTCTAACAATGAACAGTGTTCTGTGCTGGTGCCATCAATGGAAAGTATGTGATCGCCAACATGCAAAGCCCCGCATCTGCAGGAGAAACACAGGAACAGAGGCGCCACCGCTGGCAATTACAACATTCAGTTCAAAATCCAGCAAATTTCCTCTCACATACAGCTTGCCCAAACTACTGTGTCATTGCAACAAATCTGTTTTCTGCTGTATCATACCATCCAACCGAACCTTCAGCTAGGTTTTTCTGAGTCTTGTCCTGGGTATTTAACTGACGAGGGAATGGGATAGATTCCATTTTTTAACGTTCATTGATCTTCCTCTCCTAAAGTTCATCAGAATTACCAAAAATTGATGCAAGCACCACCATATTTTCTGTAACCTCAGGACTCTCACACCAACGTAGTGACTGAGATCTTCATGGGAAACAACACACCAACCAATCTGTGGTGTCTACATGGAAGGGTGGGAGATGAGAGCACCTCATTTAGATTGCTGGTTTTAGCTACATACCAGCTTTTCCTGTGCCTGCAAGTCTCAGTTGCTGTTGCCTAATGGTTTAATCCAAGCATGTAGAAGAGAGAGAGAAAGAAAGTCTTCTTTGTAAAGGGTCAGTGGAGGCTCTGAGAATCTTAAGAACAGCTGTCACTTGTGATAGATGGTTGCGAGTTAAACAAAATGATACTATGAAGAAGCTACAACCCAACAATGTGATTTCACTATGAGAAATCTGTTATGGAGGGACAATTACACACATGCACACTGTACCCAAGGGTTGTGTCTACTTTAAACATCCTTTTCTCCCTGATGCGCTTCATGCAAAACTTTCTCTTGGAAATGTCCAAGTGACACTGCTGATCAGAGGTTACTTAAAGATGCATTTCCTTCTCTGTGAGCAAGGTAGGAGTGAGTGTGTGACTTGAGTTCTGTATGTGACTTGAGATCTCTATTTGGTGTCTCCTAGACAACTTCCCCTTTTCCCATTTCTTAGCCAGGCTTGCTTTCTTTTTAATTAAAGGGATCCCTTTAGTAACTGCATAGCCAACAGAAAGTTGGCAGAGGTGTTTCCCCTAGAATAGTGGTGCGATAAAGGCAAAAGCTTCACCTGCTTAATTTCTTATTTTTAGCTATAACGACACAGCAACCCTGCCATAAAAGTTCGGACTGTCGGACACTAGTTATACTTAAACAAATCAAAAGCAGTTTGTTTTGGATTTGGTTTCAGAAAAAAGAAAGAGGTTTTAAAAATCATGATGGAAACCATACTGCATTCTTTGTAGGGATGTCCCAGGTTTGGGTGGCTTGGGAAGAGGGTTATGTTTTGGTTTCTGCTTGTAATGTATCTGTAGTCTGCATTGTGTTGGCCCCACTTCTAGCTTCATGTCCTACTTTCATATATGACATGTTGGAGGGTCTGCTATATTCTTTATTGGCTTTCATTTGAAACCAAAATGAACAAGGTTTCCAGCCCTGGACTGCTCTGATTGGAAAGACATGAAAGCAGAGAGATTTTATCCAAAGGCATATAGAGATGGCTTGGCTGAAAAATTAAGATGCCTTCCCCTGCACTGAAGAAAATATGTCAGACAACACACTATCTTTATTGCAAGAATCAAAGGTCTTTGCTGACAATAAACACCCACAAATTTTATTTTTATTTGGCACTTTAAAAAGAATCAGGGCAGATGCATGATCTAGCACTAGAGAGAGGAATGCTTAAGGAGAGCTGACAAAACAGGATTTTTTTCTGACAAGTCAAATAACAGACAAACAAAAAGGTTTGTGAAATGGCCTATGCTGAAAGAGGAGGGAATTATCCTTTTTAGTGTTTAACACTTTTCTCTTAAGAGGCTACAGGAGGGTTATAGAGCCTGGATGATTTATAGTCATGTATCCATATTCACCTCGGTAGCCCTGACTGGGGAAAAGGCAGGAAATAAATGTTGCAATTAAACAAACAGACCCAAGGGCAATATGTATGGCACCTTTTGGTGCTCTGAAAATATCCTACCACTAAAGCACGAGATGTCTGTATCCTGAACAATTGTGCATTTATAGCACTCAAAAGCACATGCACTTGAAATCTGTAAACCCTCCACTGTGGCAAATTATTTGAGAAGGGAATAAAATGGAAGAAAGACCAAGTAGCAACTTACCCTTCACGCAACAGGCTATCCTTCCTCATCAGCCAGTATCCCAAAATAGACATCTGCGATCTCTCCAAATTAATGTTTAAATTTATGCTCATACTGCATATTCCATTGGGCCTAATTAATCTCTGCCAAACCAAATCCAGTTATCTTGGACCACATGGTAACTTAAACTGACTAGCAGTAGCGCTGTCAGATGTTCCTGATTATAAAACTACTGATAAAACAATAGTTTTAAAATTCCTAGGTCACAAGTTTCTATTTTGAGAAATACCTTCCACAGTGATCTGTCAGTAAAAGAACCCCTGACAAGGGGTCCTGGACATGACGGAAGATCCTGGGGCATATGTTCAGTTTACATAGGAGACCGGTCTGGTCTGCCGGGCCTTGGTATTGCTCTGTGTGCACCCAAGAGCATGTTTTAACATGCCCCGTTGCTGCTCATTGCATGAGAACACTGGCTCTAAAGGGCTAACAAAATATACACTGATAAGCATCCAAGAAAACCAAGAGTGCTCCAGAACACAATATATAAAGCCATTGCCTTACATTCTAATTTTATTTATTATTTAAAAGATTTCTACCTTGCATTCCCCAAAATCTGTCTGAGGTCACTAATAGCATAAAACAATAAATACAATTTTAAATTAGAAAAACAATTCAAATAATTTAAAACCCAAATCCACAATAAAATCCATCCTCAGTATTTATCACAGTAACATCAGCAGTAGAAATCCAGCTGGTCAGGCATGTTGGTCTGAAGCAGTAAAACAAATTTAGAGTCCAGTGGCACCTTTAAGACCAACAAAGGTTTATTGAAAGCTCATACCTCGAATAAACCTTTGTTGGTCTTAGAGGTGCGATCAGCAGTATAAAGACAAGTATGAGAGCAACCAGACTAGCAGTGGGGCAAAACCAGGAAAAGGGTATGATATTCAATTAAAAGCTTAGGTCCATTAACATGTTTTGGTCTGGTACCTAAAAGCAAGTTTCAAGGGGAGGGCATTCCACAGGTCTGGTGCTGCTAATAAGAAGACCCCATCTCTGGTCACTGCTAGCCTCTTTTCTGTAGGTGGGGGGGGGGCACCAGGAGTAGTACTTATTATGAGGACTACAAGTGGACATCATAAAAGAATGTGGTCCTTCACATCCGTGAAACTTCCTGAAGAAGGAATATCCACAATATTTATTGCACAATATCCCTTATACCTGTAAAAAGCTGAAGAATCATAGAGTTGGAAGGGACCTCCGGGTCATCTAGTCCAACCCCCTGCACAATGCAGGAAATTCACAAATACCTTCCCCTCTGCACCCCCAGTGACCACTGTTCCATGCCAGGAAGATGACAAAAAACCTCCAGGAACTCCAGCCAAACCAGCCTGGAGAAAAATTGGTTCCTGACCCCATCGTGGTGATCAGCATTTCCCTGGGCATGTAAGAAAGGGCCACAAGAACTAAGTGGTGGCAAACTTTCCTGTATATTCCGCCCCCACAGCATTTTCTGGACTGAAACATGTATTTTAAATATGGGAAACAAGGAAATGACATACAAATGGGAAAAGGCAAGGCAGTTCAGCTTCATACCTGTCCACTACACTGGCTGGCTTGATCTTGTCAATAACTATGACCTGCTTATTCCGATGCGTGCTGGTTGCCAGTGTGATTCCTAGTGCAGAACCTGGAGTCTTGGCTATTTCCACCAGCAAAGGGCCCGAAGCATTGGCTACTGTGTCTAAAACACAAAACAAACAATTTAAGATGTTTTTGTTTCATCCTTCCCAAACATGGCACTGGGAGTAGAAAGAGCCAGCATTGACCACTGCATAGCTCCAACTTGGTCATATGACCCTTGACACATACGGTCTTATACACCTTTGTAGAAGCTCCCTCTTCCACATATATATGCTGACTTCAGAAAATTCCAAAGAAAAGGAGCATTCAAGGCTCAGGCCTAAGGATGTAGGCAGTACAAACTAGAAGCTCTCTGGCTTCCACAACCTCACCCATAATACAAAAGCACAGACTAGAAAATTCAAGTTCGTATTTCTGTATTTGCATTTATTCATATCATATTACCGAATGTAGGCTAACAGCAAAAACATAAAAATGCTCCATAGAGTTAGCTTTAAGATTTTATCATAAATCCAAACATTTCTCTTTCTTTATAAATTATAACCTAGGTATCCTCCTGTACAGGATTAAACCCCTCAGGCCAGTCCAGGGATGGGAGGTAATCCTGTACTTTTCCAGTACATTAAACAACAAACCCAGAGGTAGGCTATACCCTCTCAGGTTTTCAGAACAATATGCCACCAGAACCTCTTTTCACTAGTCCCTACCTTTCCTAAGGGAGAGATTCCAAACCCTTAGTTAGCATCTGGGATTTAACACAATAGCAACTCACTTCAGAGATGCACACTTTTACTCTCCAATAGTAGCATATCTGGGGAGCGTTTAGGCCACAGGATTTAGTCTTGGAACTCAGGTACAACATCAGAGACCATTTACAAACAAGAATAATTTTTTATTCAGCACAGAGCTTAACACAGACTACCAGAGTTTACAAAATAACAAAGGCTAGGGCTGTTTGCCTTAACTAAACATTAATGATTCATAGTTACCAAGTCAGGATATCATCCAAGAGTTCAAGATTGTCCATTGTGATAATCCAGTTAGCACCAAGGGATTTTGAGTAGGAATCCCATCTTGTGCAAGCATGCATCCAGTTCACAAAGCCACCCTTTGTCCCTCAAGGGCTGCATTTCTGGTGCAATAAAACAAGCAGAGAGAGCAGGAGCAGAGAGCAAGAGTGTCTCTCTCATTGGGATCAAACAATTATAGCCCAATTCCAGTCACAAATTAGATGTGGCTATTAGCCAATTGCGAGTGGGCATGGGTGTACCCAATTGTTGGTTGTCATAGTTGCATGTGGGGATAGGCTAGAAGTTTGGAGACCACGCCTGCAGTCACATGACCCCAAACTCCAGCTTCTCCATTGCCTACATGACTTTTTGCATGTGAGGCAAAGCCAGGAGCCATCAGGTCTGCCTCTTCCCTTAGAGGTGTGAAAGAATGTGTGGTTATATGGCATGGTTATAAAGTTTGTCTGGTCAAATGGTCGGCCATTTCGCCCGCGAGAGGAAATAAGACACAGCATGTTATCAGAATGTAATCACAGGAGAAGGCATGGATTATAGAAATCAATATTTCTATACACCTCCTGTTCAGTCCCACCCCCCAAGGTCCCAGTTAAGTATTTCTTGAGTCCAGAGATAGCAAATGCCACTTGCAATACCTTAGGTCTAAGCTGTCCAGCTGTTAAAATTTAGCAAAGCTCTCTTATGTTGGGGTGCAAATCAGATACAAAGCTTACAGAACGGCTGCTTGCTGTTTGTATAGTGCTGAAGTGGGCCAGCAGGACAAAGTAACAATTCACCCTAGGAAATACAGCTTTCCCTAGAAAAACTACAGCGGATGTTAAATTGGCCCAGAGAACAAAATCTCAAAACAGGAGAGATAATAGTCTTTAGACTGCACACAGTTGGAAGAGTTTGCATTCTGCTTCAACATAAGAAAGAACAAAAATTACAACTTTTTAACAGTTTTAACATGTATGAGGGCCAGTGCTTCCAGTACCCGCAAGTCACAAAGGGGCTGAGCTGGGCAGCTCCCTTCCTGTCTTGATCAAAGCAAAACCATCTCTTTGCTGTCTACAAATAGCAAAAGGCAGGTGTGGAGCTTTTGCTCACTGCACAATAGCTCTTTTCTCAGGAGGTAAAAGGAAACTTGACTTGTAGTTAGGCAACTTCACATCTTGATTTTGAAAAGAATGGCATAGCTTTCTGAGAAAAGTCACGACAAGAGAAAAATAACACTGCAGAGGAATGAGTTATAGCAGGACAAGCAACCTTTTTCAGCCTGAGTGCTGAATGAAACACATGACTACCTGTGAAGATGTTTGGGCTCCAGTTTGAACAGAACACTGTGCATGCCAGTTTGGTGTAGTGATTAAGTGCGCGGACTCTAATCTGGGAGAACCGGGTTTGATTCCCCACTCCTCCACTTGCACCTGCTGATGTGACCTTGGGTCAGTCACAAGCTCTGCCACAGCTGTTCTTGAAAAAGAGCAGTTTGTGCCAGAGTTCTCTCAGCCCCACCCACCTCACAGGGTGTCTGTTGTGGGGAGGGGAAGGGAAAGGAATTTGTAAGCCGCTCTGAGACTCCAAGTGAAGGGCGGGGTATAAATCCAATCTCTTCTTCTTCTTCTCTGATGTACATATATAGAATTACCACCTGACTACTTTTAAACTACCTGGATGAGACCCCCTCCCAAATTTGTACTCCTTTACCATAAAGTTCTCATATTCACAAGGCCAACGGTTAGCTTCCCCCACCCCTGGAAACCTCTGGGTTAGCTTTTCCCCTCACTAAAGAAGTAATGACAACTGGGAATTACACAGTTTTAAGGCTGACAATGAAGAAATTCAAATTGTTCAAGATTTTCTATTCCTTGGTTCCATCATCAACAAAAAGGGAGACTGCAAAGAAGAAATCAGAAGGAGATTGAAACTGGGAAGGGCAGCCATGAAGGAGCTAGAAAAGACCCTTAAGAGTAAGGATGTGTCACTGGTAGGCAACCAAGATCAAGTTAATTCATGCCACAGTATTCCCCATTACTGCGTATGGGTGTGAAAGTTTGGACAATGAAGAGAGTAGACTCTTTTGAAATGTGATGTTGGATGAGAGTTTTAGGGATACCATGGGCCGCCAAAAAGACAAGTAGGTGAATTCCAGCCTGAACTCTCCCTAGGAACTAAAATGACTAAACTGAGGCTCTCATACTTTGGTCACATTATGAGAAGACAAGAGTTATTGGAAAAGACAATAATGCCAGGAAAAGTTGAAGGCAGCAGAAAAAGAGGAAGACCCAACATGGGATGGTTCCAGGTGGTGAGTCGTGTTGGTCTGATGCAGCAGAACAAATGTAGAGTCCAGTGACACTTTTAAAACCAACAAAGGTTTATTCAAGGTATGCATCCCTTGTTGGTCTTAAAGGTGCCACTGGACTCTAAATTTGTTCCAACATGAGATGGATCGGCTCTGTCAAGGAAGCCATAGCCCCCAGGTTGCAAGAACTGAGAATGGCTGTTAATTAATAGGCTCACGGTCACCATAAGTCAGAAGGGACCCGATGGCACTTAACACACGCATACACACAAAGACATCTGGGACTTAATTAGAGCCACAGAAAAAGCCAGTTCTACATTGTTATGAAGCATGCTATATACATCCTCTCGTTTTAGAAGTTAGATCAGTTCAGTTTACTTGCTTAAAACTACATTGCCTTATGGCATTGTTTGCCATGGGTGGGAATATATCTGAGAAATGCACTTTTGGAAATGAATCTGCATGCCTTTGCACGGAGGAAGACACTCTGGCCACCAAGCAGCTGAATGTCTAAGTCCCACTCTGCCCTGCTAAAGCAGAAGGGCATCACAATGGGTTTGTCCAGCAGACGAAAGCTTTTATCACTGTACGGTCTGCCATTAGGATCACTCAGTGCACGCAACACACACACACAACTGGCTATCAGATCTCATAGTAACTGAATCACTGACGGAATCATTTCAAGGAAATCCTGTGTTCCTTACCTGCAAGACTCTTGATGAGTCTGAGCAGGAATTCCTCTCCCATACCACAGGGCCATTCTGCTCTCTTCAAAAAACATATTTGAAGCTTGTGGGTTACAACATTTCACCCAATGAGCCCTGTGCCATTTGACGGGATACATAATGATAATTTTGAGGTTCCTCTGACCTTCCTCTCACTCCCTTCTGGGAATGAGCAGCTACTGGGAATTAATTGACGAGTGCCGTAGGGGCCTGGTTCATATCAGAACCATGGCAATGGGGTGTGTGTGTGTGTTTCCCCTCTTGTGTCATTTTCCTGATGGAAACAGCCCTGGGATATTATTCACCATGCTGGGGGACTGCACATGCCCTTGCGGAGCGTTGGAAATTAGTTCCCAAGCTGCCATCTGACTAAGAGAATGAGAGGCAACCTGTGAAAAAACATCATATATAGTCCAGCTCTCAGTGTGCTTAGCACCCACCAGCCACACGACAACTGTGCTAGTCTTTTAGTGGGCCAGCTGGCTGAAGGAAGGGCTAGTGGGGTCTGGCCTGAATGAAACCAAATTACTGGCTGAGGAAGGGACTTGCAAGCAAAATCTCCGTGCAGCTACCCACCTGACAGCACTTTCTGCCACTGCCACCACGACAGCAGCCATCTAGCCTGCTTGGCCTCCCACTTTCTTACTTTCAAGACAGTTTCCAGCAATGTTGAGAGCTAGAGTCTTGGTTTAAGTTTTTACAAAACTGCTGTAGGAATCCAGATGTTCAGCAGTATTTCAGAACCCATGACGTTTAGATCTCAGCTATCTCTAGGTACATATATGAAATATATACCACCCTGAGCATGGTATAATAACTGGGCATATTTTTTCTGTGCAGCTCTTCACTGTAATTACAGCTAAAAAGCACGCAATGTGTCTACTGCTTCTGGACTGTAAATTCCATATCACCGATTCAGAGTTTATTAGAGAAATTCACAGTCAAGTAATTATGGTGTTACTTACGACCAAAAATAGAAAGCCAAATGACTTTTTTAAATTACACGATAAAAAAAGAGCTCATCAATATATTGGAAGAGCATTATGTGGACAGACACTAG